CAAATAAAAAATAAAGAGGGTACATTTTTAAAGCTACTTTACTATTTTTTTGATAATTTCATTAACTTTTCAGCAAGAATAATATATGATTTCCAAAGTTGTTAAGTGATTTTACGTTCTTTTATTTGGAGCTAACATTCTAGATTTTAGATTAATTAATAAAAAATCATCAAAACCATGTCTGAGTCTCAAAAAAATTTATCTTACTTCTATATGACTATTTTCCTTACTTGTAATGATTAATATTCACTGTTCCATTTGTAAAGTCTACCTTTATTCTAAAGTCTCTGCACAGGGGATCCTAATTTACATGAGTAACTTTTCTTAGAATTTTAACATCCTTTCAATTTTATTCACATACAATGGAAAATTTTGAATAGCCAATTTCAAGACTAAATTCTCCTAAAGTGGTCAGCCAACATTTCTGACAACCAAGGTAGTTTCTGTCATTTTTAAAAGCACACATAGGGGACCAGCAGATGATGTAGTAGTTAGATAACTGGAGTCCCACATAGTTGACCAGGGTTCAAGTCCCATACCTGGCAGCTTAAAACAGCTGGGCGCACGTGCATACATTCCCAAAATCCCAAGAGGAAAACGGAGGAGAAAGGATTGTGGTGTAGCCATTCCCCCAGGGGGGTGATTTCTTGCTTTGTGTCTCTCTGTCCCTCTCTCTCTCCAACAAACAAACACACCTTATAGCAAAATTCTCTGTTAATAAATAAATAAATAAAAATAAAGGCACACATGGATTGTCATGGTCCAGTTGCCCCTGGTGTTTAGTCTGCTCAGCTGTAAAATGAGCAAGCTGAATTAAATTGTCTTAAGACTTTTCTATCCCATACTGTGACTTCATGTTTTGAATTCCTAAGAATTTTGATCAATGTATGATGCTAAAACCAGAGACCTTTGTATGTCTCTATTTTTTCTGTATTCATTTGTAGTTTCAGTAAATGTAATGAGTTTCAGTGCTAAAATTTTATCTCACATTAACATTGTGGTTTTTCTTTTTTAATTTTCTGTATAGTTCGTTTATTTTCTATTTCATTTATTTCTGCTCGTATCTTTATTATTTCCTTCCTCCTGGAGTTTTTGCTGTTGCTTCTCCAATTCTCTGAGGCATGACGTTAGGTGATCTATTTGCCTTCTTTCTGTCTTCCTCTTATGTGCACTAATTGCTATGAACTTCCCTCTTATGACTGCTTTAGCAGTCATTTCCTCAGTAGTTGTGGAGTCATTCAAAAGTAGATTACTAGGTCCCATGTTTTTGAGTACTTGTGAGTATTTCTCTTGAAATTAAACTCAAGTTTAATTGCATCATGTTCAGAGAAGATGCTGGATATAGTTTCTATGCCTTTGAATCTGTAGAGGCTTGCTTTGTGCCCTATGATGTGGTCAATCTTCGAGGAGGTTCCATATGGGGTGAGACAAAAGTGTATCTTGTAGTTTTTGGATGGAAAGTTCTATAGATGTCTGTTAAGTCCATTTGATTTATGGTATTGTTTAGATCCTTTATCTCTTTACCTATTTTTTGTCTAGATGATCTGTCCAGAGGGGATAGTGCAGTGTTGAGGTCTCCAACAATTAGTGCATTACAGTCTATCTCCCCTTTTAGATCTAACAGTCTTTCCTTTACATATTTGGGTGCTCCTGTGTTAGGCACATAGATATTTATAAGCATTATATCTTCTTTTTTCTTTCTTTTTTTCCTTTATTTTTTTACTTAAATTTATTTATTTACATTAATTCACTGTACATCATTACAGCATACAAAATGAGATTTTTACATCCAGAGTACACTGTATATTGACTCAATCAAGCACATCAATATACATGTTGTCGTCAGCAAATAATTTTCCATTTCTTGTTTCCTGTATGTTTTGCTTTTTTTCCCCCCATCCTTGATTCCCTATCTCTTACCTTCTGCCATCTCCCACTCTCCTCCCACACTGCCTCTGGTATCTATGTTTGCTTTCTATACTGTTTTCTCCCCACACTTTATTGAGTCACTAAAGATCTTAATTCATCTAAATATTTTCACAGCAAACACAACTGATATATACATTTCCATGAACTTAATGTCTTGTTTTGTGTTTATTTGCTTTTAAGGTTTTTGTCGTAGAGTGTGTGTGCTCAACAGAGAGAGTCAGAGAGAGAGAGAGAGAGATAGTGAGAGAAAAAGTGAGAAATCACTCCCTAGCAGGGATAGTCACACTGAAATCCTCTCTTCTCCATTCTACTGGGATTTGGGACATGCACACACATATGTCCAGTGTGATATTAGAGCTGTCATGTCCGGAACTCAAACTGCGGTCAACTATGTGGGAATCCAGCATCTTAACCACCACACCACCTGCTGGCCCCAAACTTCTTTCTTGTTTAAGTCACCAAGCCACTACCTTGTTTAAGCTCATTTCAAATCCCTGAACAGAAGTCAAACCTGTATTCCACTAATGCAGAATGCAAAACTGAAAGGGAACCAGCTAGATGACAAATGAAATTAAGAGAGGTGGGTATATACAATATAAATTTGAAGGTAGCATTAAAATACAGATTTTATTGTTACACTTAAAATATAGATTTAAAAGGCAATAGGTAGCTTTACTAAGGTACTTAATATTAAGTATAAGTAATTTTAAAAGTCTAATAATATTAAAGGTTTGAAACAGTATTATCAGGTTGTCAGAAAAGTCGTGTCACATTTTTGCATAGAAAAACAGAAAAATATGGAATGACTTTTCCAACGACCCAATATATAACAATGATTCTCAAACTTGGCCTCATATTTGTATTACTTGGTACATTTTTTTAAATTACTATGCCTGAGACTCACCCCTGAGTTTCTGATTTAGATTCAGCCTCACAATTGAAAAACTTAAAAGCTTCCCAGGTGATTTTCACATGCAGACAAGTTTGAGAACTAGTACTGTATACTATTGGAACTCAAGCTTTACACAATGCTTTGAACATACTTCCTATTTAGATGTTAAAATTTCATGTGTACTCTCTTTTATTAATTATTTATTTAACTTTATTTATCCATTTATTTATTTTTAATTTGACCAGAGAGAGACAGACAGAGAGAGAAAGTGAGAAAGCAAGCCACCAGGTCCGGGACTCAAACTGCGGTCAGCCAGGTGGGAGTGTCCAGTGCCCTAACCACTATACCACCTGCTGGTCCCCTATGTGTATCTTAATACATGTTTATCATGAATTATGCTGAAGGGAAGGAAAAATTAGACATCAATTTTTTTTTTAATTGTCAGAGGTGCATGTGCTGGCCAGAGAGAAACAAAGACAGACTAATAAGAAGAAAAGACCCCACCTCACCCTCATGGGGTGGGATCACACCACAATCTCTTCTCCACTTCTCTGTTTTGTTGGGATTTGGGTCATGCATGCATGCATGTACACACACACATCTAGCATGTTTTTCAAGTCTCTGGGCCAGGATTCAAACCACTGTCTGCCATATGGGATCCAGATGCCTTAATCACTAAGTTATAGGACCGTCCTAGAAATTAATAATTTCTAAATGACTTTCATTTTCATAGAGTTATTTATTTATATTTTGGAGAGGTTTTTGATATATGGTGTGTGCACTTGCCTGAAAGACAGAGAGAGACAGAGAGACAGAAAGTGAGAAATCACACCCCAAGGGGGATGGCCACACCACAATCCCTTCTCCTCCATTCTCTTCTCAGGATCTTGAGCACGTACGCACACGTGCCTGGCATGAGTTTAAGCCACCAGGTTCAGGACTTGAATTGCGGTTGACTACATGGGAGTCCAGTGACATAGCCATTACGCCAACTGCTGGTCCCATTTTCATAGAGTTCTGACATGTCAGATCTGGAAAATACCTTATAAATAAACCCTAATTCAACCTCTTTTATTGTGCAAATGAAATTTTTAAGAAAGGCCCAGAGAGGTTTTTCTTTTCCCAGGGATTTAGCGATATGAAACTAATGAGTTGGCACTTGTGGAAACTTTTGGTTTGTAATATATTTCATAAATGTTCAGAGTACCATCTAAAGTACAACTAAACATCAATCCTTCAGACATTGGAACGCAAAGCACAATGAGTTTGAAATAAACTGACAGCAATTAATCTGTCAAAACAGAAACTAGATCTGCTCATGTACAAGTTGATGATCTAAAGCTCTTAAACTAGAATATGCATAGAATTACCTGGAGAGTTTATTTAAAGTATGAATTTCTAAGTTTCCCCTCAGACTTTGGATAATGGAGGATAGGAGCCAGGAACTGTCATTTCAATAAGTATCTAAGGTATTCAAATGTAAATGTTCCAGTAATAAAACTTTAATACATTGAATAAACATTTAAACCACTCACCCTTTAGCAAATTACCTTAAGAGTTAAAGAGAAAGTTTCATTGATGGATATTTATTATTCCAGGACTAATTTCATTTTTTTTGAGAGGTTTTTGCTAAAGGGCACGTGCACTTGCCAGACAGACAGAGAGAGACAGAGAAACAGAAAGCAAGAAATCACCCCCCAGGGGGCATGGCCACACCGCAATCCCTTCTCCTTTCTCCTCTCGGGATCTTGGGCACACATGCACACCTGCCCGGCATGAGTTTTAAGCCACAGGGGCCAGGACATGAACCACGGTCAACTATGTGGGAATCCAGCGACATAGCCATTATGCTAACTGCTGGTCCCATCAATTGCAATTTCTTTAAAGCAATTTAAAATTACCTTGCAAGTTAAGACTCTAGAAACCATAAAAAGGAAACATAAAGCCACTTATGTACAAAGTATGTAATGCTGGTTACCCTATACAATCATGAACTTCAGCCTCCAGAGCAATATAACACAGTAGTTTAATAAAAGTTTAATACACCATTACTGCCCCAACGTATTATGGAAAAGTCATGATTTTTAAAATGCAAAAATATAAAGATTTGAAACTAATATGTTAAGATAGTTTAACAAAATTTTACTTCTAATACATTTATCTAACTTCTCACTAATCTATTCTTAAACTATTTTATTTACCATGAATCAAATTTCCCCATAAGGAGAATTTTACTGATTACTTTATTCCCTCACAAAAAGACCAACTGTAATCAAATGAGGCAAACATTCACCTCAAGATATTATTGTCTTCAGAATAAAACAAAATATGAAGCTTAGAACAAGATCACTTGACCCTTTCTCTTCTCATCTCTTCCCAGTTCAAATGCTTGCATCTCTCTCCCTTTATTTTTTGAGAGAGAGATATTTTTTGGTATAGGGCATGCACACTTGCCAGAGAGACAGAAAGTGAGAAATCGCCCCTTGGGAGGGATGATGACCACACCACAATCTCTTCTCCTCCATTCTCCTCTCAGGATATTTTTAAAAATATTTATTTAATTCCATTTTGTTACTATTATTATTATTTAATTTGACCAGAGAGAGAGAGAGAGAAAGCAAAAGCGAGAAAGCAAACCACGAGGTCCAGGACTCGAACAGTGGTTGGATGTGGGGGAATCCAGTACCCTTAACCACCATGCCACCTGCCAGCCCTCTTCTCAGGATCTTGGAAATACATGCACATGCACCCAGCATAAGTTTTAAGTTGCCAGGTATAGGACTCAAACCATGGTCCACTACATGGGAATCCAGTGATGTAACCATTATGCAATCTACTGGTCCTCAAAATGTTTGTATCTCCTAATAGATACATCTTCTTAGATCTGCAGGTGGGCTCAATACATTCAACCCTCAACACAATCTTCTTTGTTGTTTTACGCCTTTTTCTGGACCATGGACTTAGTCTATCCACTATAGCCACTCTGCTTCCTGTCATAACGCCAGTTTCCCTAAGCATACAGAGAATCCTATCCCTTTTTGTACTATGTCACTTTGTGAGGTTGGTGCTTACCAACTTCTTGCAGAAAGTCCGGTATGTTTTAGGGACATTCACCATATTTGTGGGCATGCTATCTGCACACAAAGAGCTGTTCTTAAACTATTTTATGAGAAGCTTTTACTTCAGGAGAAATTTATAACTAGTGTAAAAGGTTAAATCAAATTTCTGGGACTACTAATTATTTGAATGTTGAATGCTGATGTTGAATTTATCACAGATGACTATCCAACAGCAATCAGTTTGCTAATAGTTTTGATAATAATTATAGTAACATTAATAACATTTTTGTCAGTCTAATGATTTTGTGTAATGAATATAAGATTTGTTATGGTCTTCAACATATCAAAATGGTAGTGCTAATAGCAAAATGACAAACTGTGTTAACTAGCCTATAAGCTAGTACAAAAGACCTTTAAACTTTTTAGCTCACTTACATGAATTATTAAGGGACTACTATGAGTAAGATGCATCTGTTGGGATTTTTCAGCAGATTCTGAACTCCTCCCCTCTGCTGGATGGTATTAACTGTTCATTTCCACCTCCCCATCCACTCCAACCCTAGTATCGCAGATGCTTAAAGACAAAAAAGTAGGTGGGAGAAAATACTTTATTGATCATCTCCACCAACAATGTCTCCTATTTTCCTATGTTCTGTTGTCCCATCCTGTGGCTCTGGTAGTCCTGATTCCAGACTACTTGCCTTGGACTTTGGATTGCCTTTGTGCCTGCTGCCTTCCTTTTGACCTGGTGCTTTTCTATTTCTCTGACAGCCTGATGCCTGTTTGTCTAGTTTGCTGACTCTTGGCCCAATCAGACTACTGATATCTCTGTTTGTCTTGCTGTCCATTTATCAATTCCTTTACCAGCCCTTGGCACACATTGCAATCTCTCCATCCCAGCAACTTTCCCAGACCAGTTAACCCCATAGCAATATGTGTCCAAGTACTGCCAGTGTCCAGTGGACTCCTGATTTAAAACAGAGCTTGAAATAGAAGCAATTAAAAACATAAAGTTGTCAATACATTTGAAAGGTCTAAATTGAAAAACTCTAAATGTTAAAAATTTAAAATTGAACAGTCTTTTTAGAGTAGAATACATGAGACAAAAATTAATGAAATAGAGTAACTCATAGGTATCAATCAATGAATATTTGAGTGCCTACCCTGGGCAAGGCACTATACTAGAAAGGAAAGGATCCCTAGCCACTGAAATGTATTTACTTTCCAGCGAATAAACAAAGTAGCAGAGAATATCCCTTGGGGAGCCTGCTAAGGAAAACAATCCACAAATAAATTAGACCAAAAAAAAAAAAACCCACACAGTAAAATTTATTCTACTAATGCCATAGCAATTAAAATGACAGATTTTAACTTATTCTCAGCTAAACTGGTTGATAGCATATTTCATCAGGGCTTGGAAAACCAGTTTAGTGTTTTAGATATTGTGAGAGAGGTGACTTTCAGCCTTGTCACGTGGGATTCCCAAGGGTCCAGGTTCCTCATTCCAATCCACCTCATGTTTATGAAAGTGCAGTAGCTGGAACAGTAAGAAAAAAATTTTACTGCAGGAAGTCATCTAATCCAGATAAGTTGACAAGTAGAATAAAGTTGATGGTGTTATTTATTACTAAGGTAGTACTGGTTAAGGGTTACTTGTGGGTACAGTTGGAGGAGGGGAAAGGAAGGAGAATGCAGATAACTAAAGTGAAATAGAGCTGATGTATTCAGAGCTTATGTTGCTAGAGCTGAGATCGGTTACCTACCCGCAACTGAAATTTCAAACTTCTGTTTAGCAAGGCCATGAGTGGACAATGGTGACTGATGCTTGGAAATATTAGCAGACATTGGAAATTTTATGCTCAAATGAACAAGCAATGAACCTGGAGACTAAGCCCAGCTTTTTTCGGTTCCTTACAATTTTTACCTTTTTACTTAAAAGTACAGCATCTTTTTCAATGAATGCCTACGTGACTTTGACTTATTACAATGAAACCAGCAACTACACTACAATAGAGACATGTGAGTGTGGTGTTTATGGATTAGCCTCGCCAGTGGCTAATGCTATGGGGGTAGTGGGCATTCCCAAGAACAATAACTACCAAGCTTGTGAGTATGACACTGAGTTTACTAATACTAAGAAGCCCTGGATTGCCCTGATAGAAAGAGGCAATTGTACATTTTCGGAAAAAATTCAAATAGCAGGCAGAAGAAATGCTGATGCTGTAGTGATTTACAATGCTCCAGAAACTGGCAACCAGACAATACAGATGGCCAATTTCGGTAAGTAATAATTGATCTGCAACAAAAGTTAATTTGTTTATCTTAAAGTGGTATTTCCATCTAGAATACCTAAGGTTGTAAAATAATTTTACTTTTTTTTTTTTGGCTCCGCACTGCTTTGACTTATTATCTTAAATACTTTTAATTGATTTGTCCCAAGGACAATAGCAATTCATGAAGTGGTTCCTATTTTCTTTGTTTTCTCAGTTGTGTTAGTTTTTGCAGTGTGTATTATATAATTGTCTTTTAATATACTACCTCTAAACATTAAAAAAGCATAACATTTTAATTTCATTATTAATTTATACTTTTCCATTTGATTAATTTTCTTCTGCAAAAAATATTGTGCATATTTCAGTATATAAAACTGCAATCATGATTATGATTCAATAATAGCATATTGTAAGTATGTTAAAGAAATGAGAATTTGACTCTAGTGTTTGCATGTAAGATTTGAATCTGGAGGCCAGCATATGGCATGTTGGTTAAGGCTCTTGACTCCCACATGGCTGACCCTGGTTTGCATTGGGGATCCAGTGGCTTGAAAATCACACCAGGCACATGTATGTGTGTGTATGTGTGTGTGTGTGTGTGTGTGTGTGTGCGCGCCCAAAATCCTGACAAGAAAATAGAAGGAAGGGATTGTGGTGTGGACATCCCTCCTGGGGATAATATCTCACTTCCTCTCTCTATGTCTCTCTCTCTCTCTCTCCCTCTCTTTCTCTGGTGAGTGCATGTGCCCTAAAGCAAAAACCTCTAAAATATGTTATCCATTGAAATAGGTATGGCAGAAATAGGATAATACTGTAATTTACATCAAAAATAAAGATTTCCCTTAGAATGTTTACTAATGACTTCTTAAGTAAATAGGACTATCCATGTACTAACTTTTAAAGGAATTTACTTCTGAGAATTACTATTTTTATTTTCTTTCATTAAAAATGCCATTTCCCATTAAATGACTTTTCAAACCAATGAAAAAGACTTCTGAACCAAGTTTCTATACTTTGAGTAGATATGTGCATTTTTTCCCCAAGACTTGGCTAAAGAAATAAAAAAGGGGCATAATTTAAAACAAGTCAAGAGCTGATAGTAAACAAATATATATTTTGATAATTGGTATTATCACCTCCAAATCTAGCCTCTAACAAAATTAATGCAAATTAAATTAAGCAAATTTCAGAACAGGAGAAAATCAAATTCGTTTTAAGAATAGCAAGGTGCTTGGAATATTCCAAATACAACATGGCAGTTTAGTACTAATTTTTGAAAAACAAACTGCTTATTTAATTGGGTATGGAAAAACCAGGTAAGATGGTGGTTACGCAGTACAAAATTATTGTAAATGTAACACAACTCTACTTGATACTTTTGTAATACATTCTGGACATTGCCAGAGCTCAGGTACTCACATTTTTTCTTTTTCTTTTTCTTTTCAAGCTAAGAGCATCCATAAACATTCCCAGCATGTTCCTATATTTGTACACGTCATTTATTCTTGTAGAAAGAATACAACACAGTTTTCTGATGAAAACAAGGACTTAAATCTGTTCGAAAGAACTTACTCCCTTTATATTTCAACTTAGAGGTCCTGAGTAATCCAAGTTTCTTCTTGCATGCACATTCATATTCTGCATATTCACTTTCCTGCTCTTTTAAAAATATAAACAGTATCATACTAAATAGCCATTCTGTTTTCAAAACTTGTTTTGCAACCTGCAATAGGGCCAACATCTAGTGGAATGTAGGTATTGTACCACTGAATTTTAAATATCTACAAAGGTCACTCACAGTAAATTTCCCCAAAAGGCTTGTGCATAATCATTTGAATGTGTGGCTCTGACACAGTTTTAAAAAGAAGACAGTTAGATTTATCATTAGCATTTTTTATATACCTCCCATATAATCAGACATGATACAAAACATTTTTTATGATTTCTTATTCACATTTTTGTACATCTCTATAGCATACAATATAGTTTTTTAAAGTCTGCATGTAGTATGTGATAATTAAATCAAGAATTTTTATTGAAGTGATAGCATTGCCCCCTTTTTAAAACCAACATATTGAATAAGATAGCATAATGATAGTAACTAATAGTCTACACTCATTGATTTACTATATTCTAGGCACTATTTGAGGGCTTTTACTTTATTTAATGGATGTTGTTCTTTAACGTTACATAAGCTCAACTCCAGAGAATTAAAATAGTTAAGTCTAGAGGTTTGCAGTTGTAAAATCTGTTAAATAGTATGTCATTGAATTTCTTCCTTTCCGGAAATTTCCTTTACATAAATACTAACCTTTGATGCAGTTGACAAACAAGGAACCAGGTGTGGACACAAAAATTAAATGATTAGCTTCTAGATCATTAAGGACTGAATTATTATTTTATAATGTAAGCCAAAATTTTCTTTGCTGTTGCTAATTTTTCCTTAGTGTTTTGTTTTATTCTGGCATGGAGAGTGGTGGCAACAATGCATTCTCTATAGAAGCTATGGCTTTACCTTCTATCTCCTCCTTTTGTATCACCCTTAAAAATCACCTTTTCAGAAAATCACATTGTAGCCTTCTCAAGCCCATGTACCCTTCTACAAACCTTCCCTGGCTTCTCCTACCTTTTCTTTCCTTCAGACCCATTTTCCCATGGGAAAATGGCCTTACTAGTCATTCCACAATGTCCTGTCTTTTTACTTCTTAGTAATGCCAATGGCTTTCAGCCAACAACGGACTTATAGTTTAAAAAGTTGGTTTATTACTCATTGCAGCAAAGGGAGAGCACACAGCAGAGAAAATCATGAGATGAGTGTCTCAATAAGAGAATGTAGAAAAGAATTTACGGGATTTGGGCTTCTTTAGGCGATTTAGGAGGAGCGTTTTGGAAAGCAGGTCATTGACCAACCACCCTAGTTTGTATAAGATTGAAGGGTTTCCTGGGATATGGGAATTTTCAGTGCTAAAACTGGGAGAACTAGGTAAACTGGGAGAAATTGGCCACTCTAGCTAGCTTTTTTCTGGGTTTGGATTCCGTCAGGAATTGAGGGTGAGTCTGTGATTGGATTTCTAAATATATCTTTTTTTTAATTATTATTATTCATGATAGAGCACATGCACATGCACTTGAGAATGAAAGAGAGAGAGAGAGAAGCACTCTCCACAGTGTCCGGTCATGCCATAATTCCCTTCCTTTGATCCACCAACCCATCAACTCTTGGACACTGGCATTGAGTACCTGGTGTGTTTCAGGCCGATAGGCTGGAAAGTCTAACCGGGTTCACTATATGGGATCTGACTTCTCCTGATCACCTTATTATTGGTGCTCCACAGAGCCAGTCCATAAACAAATGTTTTCTTATAAGTGGAGAAGACTAGCCTGTGGCTCAAGTTATACAGGAGAAGGGAATATTTGGTCATTTTTGTGGTTTGAATACTTGTCTATATTTTGTCTGTGTTCAGCATGGTACCAGAAGTGGTCATGTTTTACTATTGATCTATAATGGGAACAGAACAACCTTCTTGGATGTTGGTGTTCTATGAGAATTTGTTTAAAAGAAATATTTAATTTTATTTTTATTATTATTTTTAAACTTGCTATAGGGCACATACCTTCACCAAAAAGAGAGAGAGAGAAAGTGAGAAAGGTCCAGGATTCGAACCACAGTTGACCATATGGGAGTCCAGTGCCTTAACCACCACACCATCTGCTGGCCACCTATGAGATACTTTATGTTCAATGAAAATACATCAAGCAAGGTCAAGCGATAACTGCAGGCTATCCTGGGTATCAAAGACTATTTGTCTCTTTCTCACTTACAATCCACTTTGCTCACTTTCTTACTGGTATGAAAATACATTCTCTCCCCTCACATTCTATTTCTGTGTCTCCCCATCCCCTATGGACTGCCTTCAAGGGCCCCAGTAAGCCTAAGGGAAGCTCCTGCACCTCTTGCCTCATGGTTTCATAACGTAGGCACAGAATGTCCTTATTCCTGGACCAGTCTATTTACAGCCTTCCTATTAGCAGTGTTCTTTTTCTGAAGGGGACAACTTCAGTCTGAGAAGAACTCCCACTGAGGAGCTGTGTGCTTTGACTTGACATTTTGATGGGGTTGGAAATAGGAGGATACGCTTACCATGTCCTTAAATAAGTATCTTCTTAACAAGCCTTTCCAAACACTGCAGAGAAAGAATCCAGCTCTACTCCAGATGTGCAAGAAAAGTCAGGACTCCTGAGCTATCCAAGGAGAAAATCCGGAACATGTTAAGTACTTGCTTGCTGAGCAGACAGCTTTTGGGAGTTAAATATACTATTTATAGGTAAATTGCCTGAAGAAATACTTAGATTTGAATGTAGTTTATGTCAGCAAAGTCGATAGTTTGGGAGGGATAAAATGGATCTTTTTTTT